AGGGAGGGAAGGAAGGAAGGAAAAGATGGGGAAGGAGGAAGGAAGGGAAGGAAGGGAAGGAGAATGTTAATGAAAGAAAGGAGAAAGGAAGGAAAAGATGAGGGAGGGAGGGAGCAGAGAGTTAAGGGAAGAAGGGAGGAAAGGAAGGAAGGAAAAGATGAGGGAGGGAGGGAGGAGAGAGTTAAGGGAAGAGAGGAAAGGAAGGAAGGAAAAGATGGGGAAGGAGGAAAGGGAGGGAAGGAAGGAAAGAAGGAAGAAAAAGATGGGGAGGGGGAGGAAGGAAGGAGAGAGTTACGGAAGGAAAGAAGGCAGGGAAGGAAGGAAGGGAGGAAAAGATGGGGAGGCAGGAAAAAACCAGCCAAGAAATGGAGCTTCCAGAGGTTTTATCTTGCAAAATGTTCTTTCCCAGAGACCCCAAACCACTAACAACTGGAGAACAGTTTCCAGATGTTTGCTTCTAGGCATAGCTTCCCATTCAGACATCATCAGAACTCTCCTTTCGAAACAAAATCCGGAGCCTAGATTGTGGGCACACTTCTGTTTTCCTTCTTAGGACCTTTTAAAATCTAATATTTAATTCAGATCTCAGCCAGCCGAACCGTTCAGATAGCAGCAGCTGTTCCCTGAGTTTGAGGTTTTTTTTTCCAGATGTGTGAGACTAGGGTGCCCATGAGCCACAGCCAGCCTGGCCGAGGATATCAGGCCTGGGGGAGGGAGGATTCCTTAAAAAATATTCCTAAAACTTAGGATTCGAAAGCAAAGTCTCACCACCAACTTGAGCTTTCTCGAGGCAAAGCCAACGGCTTCATCGATCGAGCAGCTGACCCTTAAATTTAATTTTGGGGGATATTTTCCACGCACCCCTTCCCCTGCCCACTTTTAAAATCTCATCACAACCACACATCAAGATTTATCTGAAACGGTCTCGAGTTCTCCTACTTGAGCAGGGGGCTGGACTAGAGGACCTTTAAGGTCCCTTCGAGCTCATTCTATTCTAGTCTTATTTCCTAGAGAACAGAGAGGGAGAGGCGAGGGGAAGAATTTCAAGTTTTTATTTTGTTTCGGCCCGAAGAATCCCTCCAAAGATACAGCTTGTTATCTCCCTGTTTGGGTTTCAAAATATGTAGCCGAATTTCGGCAACAAAAGTCTTTTTATCCCTGGTGGTGATTTTGTGTGTGTGTGTGTTTAAAAGA